AACAGCTGAAAGTCACGCATTACAAAAAATTCCTGAATTTTCCACCTCACCCACGGCTACCCATCTACCCATCATTGAGGTGAAGGTTGTGTCATACAAGTCAGTTAGGAAATAACTAAAGCTGAGTTAGTAACTTACGGCGTAAATTTGAGGCGATGAATAATGTATGAGGTGTGTAACTATTAGAATGGAGAAGTTGATGTTGTCGTTCATTCGGGACATCTGATAAAATCGGAACAATACAGAGAAGATTAGCATGGCCTGTACAAAGATGACACGCACAAATGGAGATATAGTGAGAAGTTGAAGTTTGTTAGGATGGGGGAAGAGATGCTGCTATGGTTTAGTGTATACACACTCAAATTAATTTTAAGTAAGAGAATTGATATAACGAAGAAAACTCATAAGAATGTTTCTTGTATGATGATAAAACATGGATATGCACATGGAAAGGGATGGGGTTTCTTCATATACAAATAAAATGTTGTATAGGTAGAAATTGAGCATGATGCTTGCTTGCCACTATATATGTATCTTCTTCAACTTCCCACAATAATAGTAATTGATTGATTTTTGGCATAGGCATTGGTAACAGGATTGCTGAATTGTTCCATCGAGAGCTCACAAATATCTGAATGTTTTTGTGCGAGTTTGAAACAATCTTCCAAAGTGCAATGTCTCTGGAGAACGCATCTCCTGTAGAATATCTTTGCAGATTCTAGTCCAAATCACTGCACCAGATAAAAAGAGAAATTAAATGTCAGTCAAAGCATATGATTTTGAAAGAAATAATATCGAAAATATTAGGGAAATAAGCGCGCGCGAGAGAGAGAGGTAATTTTGTTGCCAATTGCCGCTACTCAGCTCTTGAAACTTGGTTCATGAAACGTCAACTAGTTTGAATGCCTATTTCGACATCTCTGGAGAATTTACAACGGTCCATCTAAGCTTCATAATCGAAATTGCTGCATCCGCAAAGTATACGCAGCAGCAGAGGTCGGCCAGCACTTAGAACGTCTTTTATGTTCTTTTAAATTTAGTCACTTCATTATTCGAGCCAATAAAAAAAAATTCAAAGGAAAAGAAGTTAGATTAAATTGGAAGCATGAAAAAGAGAAGATTACACCTATATTTAGCCCAAAATTCTAGTTTCGATTCTTAAAATAAAACCTAATTGACTAACTTATAGAAACATTGAGAAAGTTAAATATATTACTTTACATGGGATTTTTACCAAAATGCTATGAACAGTGAAATAAAATACTAAAATGCTACAACGCGGAAAGATATTACCGAAATGCTACACTTGAAATTCATCACCAGGAGATGAATTTATAAACTTCATCTTGCCCAGAACGAGTTCTTCAATAAAGTGGGAAAATTTGCAAATTCATTTGGTAGAGATGAATTTGTAAAGTTCATCTTTGAGTGATGAATTTCAGAAAAAGTACTTTTGTCCTTTTCTCCCCATTTCCATGCGTATGAGCATCCTCTGCCCGTACAAATCTCTCTGAACCACTTTTGTCTAAGTTAAAAAAGCAATTGAACTCTTTGCATGCGTCTGAAGCTGGGAAGAATATTAAGTCATCTCATCTCCCTTGCCCGTGAAGCTACAGTAGTGTCGTGGCTTGCTATATATTTGCATCTCCTCTTACGCCCATGAATGCATCTGAATCGTCCGAGCTTTACTTATACATTTTGCATCTCCTCTTATGCCAGTAGCCCATGAATGCGTCTGAGTCCTCCGCATGTTGAGCTTGTGTTCCCACTTCATGTATTCAGACTTCTCTCTTCTCTCTCATCATCCTACTCTCTCGTTTTATTAGTTGCTCCAGCCTCCTCCATTCTTTTGCTGTCTTGTTTCTCTACTCTTACTTGCAAACATTCGACACATACTTTTACTACTATTGAGGCCCTGAGGGTATGTTATTTCTCTTATGTATTTTTTATTTTGTCATTATAATATTTAATTTGATTTTCTTCTTTTTTTTTATTTGATAAACTATTATTTTAAATCTCCAGGTGCTAAGTGGTGGGTTGAACAATTTCAAAAATCTATACTCTTAGGTGCCTCTTATTTTGCCGGTAAGAATCCTCTATTATATAGTTTTAAGATCTCAAGATTTTGTTTTGATCTCTATTACCCATTTAGTCTTATTTATAAGGTATTTTTAGTATATTTCACACAGATTAAAAAACCGTTGAAATAATTTCACATCCACCATCTCATAATTTGATTATAAAAGTAACACTAATCAAGCACAAAAATGTATATTTTCATCAAGTATTTTTTTTCCAAGTGTCAGATCTGTTATGCATGAAAAGAACTAATGGCATAGGAAAAAAAAGAGAGTAGAAGAGGTGAATAAGAACATGAATGAGTAGGGGAGAGTGGAAAAGATGAATAGAGAGAGAGAGATAGAAGAAGTGGAACATGTGGGAATAATAGCATAAGAAGAAGACAAAATTGAAGGAGATTTAGCATTGGATAAAGGAGTGAAGAAAATGTACCAACTGTACAAATAATTTAATAAGGATAATTATGTATGTTTGTATTAAAAATTATATCAAGTGCTTTATATATAGGATCAAAATTTATACTCTCTCTGTCTTATAAATAAAACTAGAGGAGTATCTTTTAAGTATATGATTTTTTTGGAAATAAATATATAAGAAAAAAATTCATAGCTTTAACTTTTTTCCCCATATTATTCCTTATTTGCTATCAATTTTCATAATTTTTTTTGTTTTACTCGATCTTGATAGGTGGGTATTAAAGTAACTAACAATTAAAAAATTATTAAAATAAATGAAAATTTTAGATATAAAAATAAATCTGAATAATTTTATTCATTTAATTATTTATTGTTTTAAAAAACTGAGGTTAAGAAAAATAATTATAAAAATTTAAATTGTATTTAATGAAATCAAGTAAAATATGTTTATTTACATTTAAACATATTTATAATATATATATATATGGGTAAAACAATTTATAAAATTAAAAGTAACGAAAGAGATGTTTGAAAAAAAAGAGAAAATTTCAATTGGAATAAAATAAAGACCGATAAAATTTAACTATTCGCTAAGGGTGTTCATGTAGATGAATAATTTCATTTCATTGTATTTAAATATGTAAGATATTTTAGCTTAATAATAAATGATTTTGATTTTTTTTCAATAAATTTTGTTATAAATATTGATAAGAAAAAGATTATAAATTTTTTTAGTACAAATTAGGGAGATAATAAAAAAGATCTATTCAATGGAAGCATGATAAGAAAAAATGTAGGGATTTAGTTAAGGGTACTTTAATATTTTTAAACTTATATTTTAGTATTTGGTCCTTATAAATAATTATAATTTTTAAGATCCTTCTCAATAAATATTATTTTTCTAGGTCCTTCCCCCTAATTTTTTCTTAAAATAATATAATTTTTACCTATTTAGTAAATATTTTGGATACAATAATGAGAATAAAATATAATATAAAGGTAAATTTTTATTAATAAGAAAATAGGTGGCAATATTTTGTTAAACTTTTTTCATTAATAAAAATGAATATCATAAAAAATTTAATTTTTAAGCATCTATAATACATAGATTTGATATTACTTTTAAAACTATTAGAAATTTAATTAAAATGTACGGAATGAATCAAAATAGAATTATAATACATATATAAATATGAATATTTTTTTTAGCACTAGATTTAAACCTATGTGAACTATACATGAGAAACCATGATTTGTGAGTCTTTCTATTTTCAAAGTTTTGTCTTCTCCTAGTTGTACTTAATTAATGATTATAATGCAATATTTAAGAAATAGATAGAAGTGGGAACACAAGCTCAACATGCGGAGGACTCAAACGCATTCATGGGCTACTGGCATAAGAGGAGATGCAAAATGTATAAGTAAAGCTCGAACGATTCAGTCGCATTCATGGGTGTAAGAGATGCAAAATTTATAGTAAGCCACGACGCTACTGTAGCTTCACGGGCAAGGGAGATGAGATGACTTAATATTCTTCCTAGCTTCAGACGCATGCAAAGAGTTCAATTGCTTTTTTGACTTAGACAAAAGTGGTTATGAGAGATTCGTACGGGAAGAAGATGCTCATATGCATGGAAATGGGGAGAAAAGGACAAAAGTACTTTTTTCTGAAGTTCATCACTCAAAGATGAACTTTACAAATTCATCTCTACTAGATGAATTTGCAAATTTGCCCACTTTATTGAAGAACTCGTTTTGGGCAAGATAAAGTTTATAAGTTCATTTTCTGGTGATAAATTTCAAGTGTAGCATTTCAGTAATATCTTTCCGTGCTGTAGCATTTTGGTATTTTATTTCACTGTTCATAGCATTTTGGTAAAAATCCCTACTTTACATATTTATATATATCATTTTTTCAAATTAATTTGATTGACTTATAAAATGATATATAATATAATAATACATATAAATATTTTAAAGAAATCATGTAATACATACCAGAATAAAGTTATCATTTAGCTTTCTTAATCTTCCTAAATTAGTCAATTGGGTCTTATATCAAGAACTAAAGATATTATCTTGTATTTTTTTTTAAATAAAAAGATCACTATATAAAGTAAAATTACAATGACAATGCGATAGTCCTCATGAATTAGGAATGGATGTCAGGAATGGATGTCCAAATTTGGACTGCCAACGTGATTGATTTGGGTGTTGTTAGCGGGTCAAACGGAATCAAGGAGTTCATTTGAGTAGGGACGAAAGCACAGATACAGATACAGAGACGTGGGTGAGAGGTGTTTTAAATTAACTTATTTTAAATAATCTTACATTATATGAAAAAATTATCATCCCGCAAAACGTAGAATTACTTTTTTACATGATTTCCAAACACCAACTATGATTTATGGATATACGGATGTATTGGGATGGGGATTCTTTCCTCCTGTCACTTCTTTTTAATATAAAAACTACATTTTCCCTATATTAACAAGAAATTTTTTATGAATAATACAACTTCCTATTTAAGACTAGAAAAAGCGCGTAAGCACCAAACAGTGCAATCCCAGCACGAATGCATCTAGCTCTGTGTTCACAAATAAATTTGTTTTCAACAGCAATGAATCCTTTCGAAGAGAAAAACAAATCTATTACACGTGGTTTGCCTCAATCTTCATATCTAACAATGCTACATGTGAAGGTGCATCTAGAAAATTGCACCTGTGTAAGAATATCAAAAAAAAAAAAAACTAATTTACAGAGAACTTGAAACAAAAACACTAGATCATGTCGTCTGTGAATGTCGAAGACTGAATGGTCCTTAAAAGCTCCCTCAAATTTGGCAAAACATGACTTGGTCCCAAACTCCTAGCACCAATGGAATTCAAGAGCTGCTCTAGGTCCTAGAATCAGAAAATGCGAGGAAGGAGCAACAAGTCAAGTTTCGTTGGAATAGATATTTACTTACCGTAGCGAATGCGCACACAAAAATTCAAGCACGTTCAAAGAAACAACTACACTACCGAGAAGGGCCAACTGTTGAGACAATCCTGCATAATATCTGATATATGTATAACACACAATAGTCTGAGCTCATAGGTTATCAAACATAAGACACTCACGATGCAAGACCGCCAGTCTGGAAAATACAAGTCATTACACTCGTACAATAAAAATCCAGGAAAGAAGGGGGGATTAATCAAGCTGGCTCAACCAAGTACCCGTCAAAGTATAATTTCTCCTGGCAGTCACCGACTCTACATAAGGAAACGTCTAACATTTAAGTTCATTTCGGGGGAGTAAATATGGCCAAGACCAATTTTATTTTTTTACTTCTCTGGTCCTTAATATAGGACCCAATTGTTAAGTTGATTTTAGTTCTAAATATAAGATATATTTCTCATATTTATTAATTTTCCCTAAATTACCATTATGGATACTCTCTCAACCATAATCAAGTAGAAAAGAGAGGGAGGATATTAAGAAAGATGATTACGGTGTTTTAGAAAAAACATGTCATATTTTTTATAATTAACTAACTTACTTAACTTCCTAATCTAATCAAATTAGTTAAATAGGTCTTATATTAAGGACCGAAGGAGTATATTTGATCAACCCAGCGGATGAATGCTGAACAAACTCCACAAATGTATAAAATGTGTTTTTAGAGCTCTCTCTTTCCACAAAAGGGATTGGATGAAAAAGATGACAATACGACCAGTGGAAAATAGCGCAAATACCAAAAACATACACTGACCAAAAATGGGAAAAGGAGAAGACAATATCAGCGAATAGCTAGCATTCAGTAAAGGATTTATAAAGGAAAACAACAAACTAGAGGAGGCACAAGGCTATGCCGTCTAAGTTAAAGCATCTAGTCCAAAGATAACAATTTGCATAGCAACCTGAATAATAAAGCAAACTTTTCTTTCTTTTTTCCGTTTTGATAAAAGCTATAGCAAAAACATTTTGGAAAAGACATACCTTGTTTAACAAGAATACAGCATAAGCTGCTCTTGTTGTGTCTTGACCTTCTGAAAAAAGAGGGAATGCCATTTGCTTGGTGTTTGCAATAGGCGTTGTACTTGATGAAGAATCTGAAGATAATAGATCTTTTGAAGGTGCATTGTCAATGATATATGAATGAGAGCCACCCAAGCGCACAGGATATCGCAGAGGAACTTGCAAGTAAGATGCTATAAGTGATACAGCCTGCCAAAAAAGCTAGTCTGATAAAGTGTGTTTCAATAGTTAATAGGTCAACAGCCATATATGGGTAGCAAAATAAAAATGCTGTATTTAGAGGCACTAAAATTTAACACCATCACCACAGCGAGAAAAAGAAATGACAATCAATTGATAAATGTTCAGAAAATAATATCACATCATGCACGTGTGGATTATTAACAGTTACTCAATAGAAAAGGAAGCATCAAAAGATATTTTGGGGCATCAGAACTTACGTGTGCAACATATCCTAGGGCAGTTGCAGACTTTTGGATTTCCTTTTTATCAGTAAAAAAGCTCATCTTCTTAAAAGACAACATTGTCAAATGCAGACCCAGAATTGTTATGGATCCTTGGTTAACAGGTTTATGTTCAGCAGAATTACCTGGGTAGAGAAATATTGACAATGTTAACAATTATTTTCAAAATATTTATCCAACTAGACACAATGAGTTGATGACTTGACAAACAACTTGACTTGCTTAGTCCAAATAGGGATAAAGCATTGAGATCACTGAAAATTTATCTAGAACTCAGGTTTAAATATAACAATAATTCAAATTAGCACATGAGAAATCAGAGTTCATATACAGTGAAGTGCCATATTCTTCTGGAGCATCTAAGCCAACTAGTGGAATTATGAATCATTGAATAAGACAATGTCTTTCAATATGAAGATCAGTTCAAGAATATTCGAGGACTTTGAGGCCATTGTCAGCTACCTTGCCGTAATTGAACTTTTAACATTCAAATAGAACAGATAATGGAAATCGCAGGACAACAAGACATCAGTTCACTTTATTCATACCAATATTGAGCAGCAATGACACGATACATAAGCTACAACACCATGTTGATAAACAAATGAAATTGTCCTTTTGTGCAATGAAAGGGGAAAGAAGAAAAAAATAATCTAAAACATCAAAAAATATCAACCATTAATTATGCAGATAGAATTGCAGTTAAAGACAAAATTACAATTAAGGAGCTACAACAGCTGTCAATCACAGATTGGCAAGAAACAACACCTATGAAGAAGCATTTAAGAAGATGACAGAAAGAGGAGAATTAGATGGATGACGTACAGAATGAAAGATAAAATTTTCGAATACTCAACCATGTAAAGAAGTACAAGAGCTGCGCTCTCTAACAGAGAGAAAAAAAGGGTAAGGAAACCATCCAGCATTCAGTTTCACAGTTTATTTTAAATCCAAATTCATTTGAACCTAGTATAAACTCATCCCTTTACCATTTACAGGGTATTGTTTGCATAAATAGAACAAGGAGATTTATTCAATTAACACTCACCTGCTATGCTGCCGGCGGGATATGCTTCAAGTTCTTGCTCTTGTGCAGGTGCAACCGAAATCTTTACAGGATACAACATTGATATTTGGGATGCCATATATTGTTGCCTAAGTCTTAACATCCTTTGCAAATTTCTCAGTTGAACATAACCTTTTTCTTCAAACAGTAACCTATTTGATTCCTACATTAACAGTATAATCATCTTTTCAACTACAACCACAACTGTACACAGAAAAAGGTGATGCTCTTCAATTCCAGAAAGAAATTGTGAGAACATTTTTTAATTAAAAACCCACTGGGTATTAGAATAAACGTAAGGTCACCTGAAGTCTTCTTCTAGATACAGAAAGAGCCGTCCCTGCCACCAATAGTGATTCAACTTCAACACCAAGCTGCTCTTTCTTCTTGGTGGCATCCTCCTTTGCAGCCCTGGAATGCATTGATACATTCTCCACCATTGCTTTCCTTGATTCAAGTTTCTGACGCATCTCCTCAAGTTCATTAGACCTACTCAATGACTCAGCCTTGACCTGCTCATGAAATTACCGCCCGCTAATATGCGGGCTCATTAATTAAGGCCACATTTATTTAGAATAAAATAACAAACAAAATAAAAAGATCCTACATCCAGTCATCAGATTCTTTGTTACTAACGTTGTCTCAACAGAAACTCATAAATAGGACCCAAAAGAAAAGGCCACAATGAAAAGGTAAGCAATGCAAATGTAGATAACAAAATCCAAGATTACTCAACATTACCAATCAACCAGATGAAAAACATCAATCCTCGTGAAAAGTTTGTAACCTTAAGTTTGGACAGCCATGTAAATTTTCCTTTTATCTTTGTGTTACATACACACTAATCAGACATTTTTGCCTGAAACTTTGAACAAACAGATGAAACAAGCAACCGCAAACGGTTTGCCAACCCCTGTGCTTCGGTAGATGGGTCACAGGATGATTAAATGAACAGTGATATATGAAACAACTCACGCAATATCAAGGCCATTGCTGCGTTTAGGAGCTTTTTTAACATATTGTATTCCTTATCCTTCATTAATATTTCTGTTTAAAGGGATTGTCCTATCACTAAAGATTTAATAAATTTACAAGAAAAATCCTCAACGTCAGCCCATGGTATAGAGCTCCCCTAGCCTCTTTGAAATAAACGCTCAAAATCCCAGGGAAACATGGTTGTCAATTAACAATTATACTGAGTTTTTGATATAAAGGACTCTTACTGAAAATGGATCATAAGACAAGTAAAAAAAAAATAGAAAATGACTAGTACGCTTCTAATTTTGTGATAAATTAAGTCAAATTTAACCCTGCCACAAATCGATCATAAGACGAGTTAAAAAAGAAAAAGAAAATGACTAGTACGCTTCTAATTTTGTGATAAATTAAGTCAAATTTAACCTTGCCACAATGTCCAATTTGCGAATTCATCCACATGAATTTCCTTTTGTCGATGTAGTGTCCATAAAATATTCTGCCATAATTCTATTTCACAGCTACAAGCACAATGAAGGAACCCTTTGACTCATTTCATTTTCTTCCCGGCACCACTACTTAGTTTCTTGTGCTTAAAACTTCTAATTACCCATCAACACGGAGACCCTAATGCGAAGTAGGCAAAAAAACAAATTTCTTGAAGCACGCCAAAACCCTACCTGAATAAGGTGCTCGAGCTTCTGTTGGAGATTTCGCTTCTTCTCCTTGGCTTCATTAAGTGCAGAAGAAAGACTGACCAATCTCGCAAGATCATGCTCGAAGTCCTCCCATTCTATCACTTTTGCATTATCTCGATCGGGTATATCGGTCCCGGAGGACAAATTTCGATTTTGTTCCATGAATACTACGAGCAGAAAGAAAGACGCGGGAATCCAAGAAGAGGTCAGGGGTCGATCTCATCGTCCTGGAGTGGATAATTAATCAACTCATCGACCCTCCTCCGCTGGGATCCTAATTTTCTCGGAGAAATTGTTTGGTTTTTGGGAAAGATAGGTCAGGACCCGATTTGAAGAAGACGAAGCAAACACTGATATTCTGTTACCTGGAGGCGTGGACCGTATCATCACGGTTCTCTCTGCCTGAAGAAATTTGTACAGCTTTTACCTTTTTTCTAATCCATAACCCCCCCCCAAAAAAAAAAAAAGAAAAGAGTATGCTGGATTATGTATGTCAATGGAATAATGGAAATTCAATAAGTCACTTTATAGTTTATTGTGTTTGGTAGGCACCAAAGACATTCCAGAGGAAAAGTGGTTTCCCGTGAATGCGAGAGAGGTAATTCAAATCCCCCGCTGGGTTATTTTATTTTCCCCCAAGTCCAACAAGCTTGGTTATTTTTTTATACTTATTTTTTAAAGTTTAACTTAATACAATTCAATTTATAAATTTTGATTTAATTAAAAATTAATTTTTAAAACATTAACCCTAGTTAATATTCAAAAAATAACTTTGTTTTTATAGTTTTTTTTTCAAATATAAGGTCTGACATTTAAATGATAAAATGATAAAGATTAAATTGTATTAAGTCAGTATTTATAAACTGAGTTTTAATTGATAAGAACTATGTTAAATTATAAGAATTAAGTGATGGTAAATTATGTACATGTTTAAAATTATGTATACGTCACTAATTATCACTCAATCTAAACATGTGTTTGGCAATGGTTTGACATTTTGACAAAAGTTAACATTGAAAGTACCAAAATTTTCTATTTGCCCCCTCATTGTGGGGTTATATCTGTATTGTTTGAGGCTCAATTTTTTCTCCTGATCAAAAGAAGCGTAACATGTCTTGAGATGCTAATTTCAAAAGAAAATATAGCAACGCTGATTTCATTTTTCACATGATTATAAACAGTACTTTCCTTGGGATCTCACATATCACAACAATAATTATCATCCTAACATGTTCAAACTCTACAAACTAAATTTATATGGTTATGATTAATTAAATTTAAATTTTAAAACATTGATCCCTAGCTAATATTCAAAAAAATAACTTTATTTTATTTTTTTAGATATAAAAAGTGGCATTTCACATAGTTAAAATTATAAATATAGAATTATACTGAGTTAATATTATAAACTGAGTTTTGATCCGGTAAAATTTGTAAGACTGAGTTTTAATTTAGTTACAATTATAAGAATAAAAGATTATAACTGTACACTTCATTTTTAAAATACTATCTTCTGTCATAATCATAACACCTCTTTATAAACTATAAACGAGGTCTTATAATTAAGATAGGAGGTAGTAATTAAAATTCTATGAATGTTACTAATAATTAATTAATTATCACTCAATCTAAACGTGTTTGGCAATGGTTTGACAAATTGACAAGAGTTAATATTGAATGTACCAAATTTTGATTGTGCCCTTTGACCTCGACCTGCCCCCTCATCGTGGGGTTATATCTGCATCGTTTTTTTTTTTTTTGGGGCCAAATATCTGTATCGTTTGAGGCTCAATTTTTTGCCCTGATCAAGAGAATCACGACATGTTTTAGGATGCTAATTTCAAAAGAAAATATAGTAACTCTGATTTCTTTTTTACATAATTATAAACACTACCTTCCATGGGAATCTCACATATCACAATAATAATTATTATCCTAACATGTTCAAACTCTACAAACTACACTAAAAATGCAGGGCCACATAATATATACTGAATTGAACTCTACTCTCCATGAAAGATGTTCATGGTCTCTCCCTTGCTAATTTGGATATTTTGAAATCACCTCAAGTGAATTGAAGATGGAGATAAACACGAGAAATGATTGTGTTCTCTGTAAAACCTACATAAAATATTATCTGTTCATCTCCACTTCACCTAAAGCTACTTTCCAAATTAGTCTTTTTGGCCTACTTCACAGTAATTCAATAACCCAGAGAATCACTAGTATGTATCCCACGAACTGCTAATTCACGTGTTCTCATGAAAGTAAACGGATCTAGACAGGCTGCTGGGTTGGCGCTTTAACACCGAAGAGATTTCAATCCCATGATGTTTCCTCGATTGAAACGCCTCAAACATGCTTCCACCATTCAATGATCCCTTCTTTATTCCTAAGGTAGCCCATATTGAACTCTTGGCAGCCTCAATTGGGTCATGAATTCTCAGTGTTTTAGGCACCAAAACAGAGCCGCTTCTCTCTGTTTCGATGGTTCTTCTTTTTGCAGATACCCTGGCTCAAGCACGTCCCCATCCCTCTTGCGCTTTCCTAATATAGGAGAATTCGGACCAAAGCTCGATGAATTTAAGGTTGGGGAAGAAAAGTTCGTGGAAAACCTAGGAAGATTTGCCTTCCGATTAACTGACAGGGTAGGAAAACCTGGAGTGACAGGCCAGGGAACACTAGGAACACGAGAGCTTTGGAGGATGTTTTCTTGCTTTCTTCTATGGAAGATGTGCTTCTCCGATTCTCCAAGATATGATTATGGAACCCATTTCGGGTGCTTTGAGAAACAATTTTGTTCCCTGCTAGATTCAGTATAGACCCCATGGGCGCATCTGATCCAAAGCTGAGAAGTTTTCCATTAGTTCCATTAGGAGCACTAATTCTGGCTACTCGAAGAGCCTCGTTAATGGTGATGTAGCGATAATGAGAGGAGTTGTTTTTGGTCTTTCGCCGCCCTGCCCCTACTGGAACGTTCCTCATGGTGCCACCAGCTGTCCAGTATCTCTGACAGGATTTGCAGAAATGGCGAGGCTGATTGACGTTGTAGTTATTGTAGTAACAGAACTTTGTGTTCATGCTGTTGCAGCGAGGACACGGAAGAACTTGATCTGGCTTCTTCAGGATTTTCTCCTGCGAGTTGGTTTCCATCGTCATTCTTTGAAGATTTTGCAGCTTCTTCGTCCATCGATGGTGTGCTCGGCTTCACGCTTGCCTCCGGAAGGAGTTCAGCCTCTTTCTCTTCAGGGCTCTCTCTGACTTTTCCAATTTGCGATTCCTGGAAATTTCAGTTAAGTCTTGCGTTTCAGTGGACAATAAGAAGCTTGATCTATTAAGGTAGAAAGTCAACCACAAAAAAGCAGGAACTGCTAGCTTGAAAGTATTAAAAAGTAAGACGAATGAAGTAAAAAGGGGAATAATTAGTTTTTTCAGAGAGATGATTTGGTTGAAATTTTTCAATTTGAGCTGTTTTTGCTTTCAGTGTGTTATAACTTATATCTCACTTTCAGAAGTTCTAATGCCAAAATCTGCAATCTCCATAACTCTGTTTTTCAGGTCCCATACTGAAAATGACAAACATCCACCAGGAGATCAGAGTCCTGAATTTCACGATTGAAAAGCGTAGCCATGCTAATATTGGATGGGAAAGACCAGATGCGGTGTTCGGTTTCAGAAAACAACTCGAACAATAAGTAAACACCGAGATCCAAGCAAACTCCATAGTTGAGAAGATTTTCAAAAGTAGGAAAAGTGTTTGACGCTAGGAGCTTACCACACACCACCATATCCAATCCAATAAAAGGGAGAATGAAAGGATAAAGCAGT